ACTCACAGCCTTTCCCTCATCCACCAAGCCGGTCACCTTGTCATAGAAGACCAGGCTGATCAAGCAGGACCTGCCTTTCATAAACTCAGGCTGGGTTTAGGATGGCACGGAATGGCACTCAACACAATCCCAGGCACAGAGGTCAGGGTGACAGACCTGAATTAGAAGTCACCTCATACCTACACAAGGAGTCCACAATCCAAATACAAACTCCAGTACAGCCTATAACAAAACAACCCAGAGGGGGCTGCAGGAAAATGCTTCTCATTGATCAACTGCATTTCAACTTACAGTATGTAAAAATACTTGAAATCCTATTCCAAGAAATAGAAAAGTACAACCAAGTCGTATATTGACTTTTAAGACTCAATTCCCTTAAAGTGGAAAAAACAATGAGACAAAGCAAGCATGTTTGAGTAATATAACTAAATTTCTGTATAAAATGTGTTAAATTGGAATTTTTAACACCATTCTTTAAGAAAACTATTGCTTAGTTCTAAAGAGATTCTTGTCTGAGGCCATTTAAATGGAAGAACAGCAGCAATGTGGGCTCTCCATAGCAGGGGTTTCAAAGAAGAGAAAAAGCTCATGTGATCCTGAGAACCTTTTTCCATTAATAAAGGGAAAGCCAACTCACACAATTTATGCTTTCATGATTTCTTTGCACTCTTGTCACACAATAATGAGAAGTCCTAGTTTCCTTCCAGTTCCCTCCACATGCCAGTTACTACAAAAAAGGCCAATCTACTAACAGCCAAACTCAGTTTTGTGAAACTCAGCACCTTTCAGAACCTATTTAAAGCAACCAACAATCATACCATTAACTGCACAAACAAGAAAGTTTTTTATTGATTTCCAGAAAAAAATACACAATTTTCACTCAAAGAATTTAACCTATATGTGAAAAGGTAAGCCTTAAGTAGTGTTTTCCTACGTCATCAGAATTCTATTAGAGGGTAAGAATATAAAGTTCATCTCTTCAAAAAAATCACAGCATTAAGAAAGGCATCATTACACTATATCACACATCCTCAATTGTTTTTATTTTGAAAATTAAGTTTGCATGAATAAGGTCTCTTTTTCCATTAGAGATTAATATTTTATCAATTTGTGGTTAAAATGCACTCTTGAAGAATAACGCTACACTTATGAAAGAAATATCAAAATGCTATTGATACTTAAACTTCAGTGTTTTAGTTTAACACTTCCATAGAGAAATCAAACTACTTGTTCTCCTAATATAACTGTATTTACTTATTCAGAAGATATTCTTGTCTACTGAATTTTATTTCTCACCTTCTGAAAATCCACATGGAAGTAATGGCAAAATAAATTCTCTCTGATCTTAAAAAGCATTAATTTTTTTTAAATTTCTTATTTCCACTAGTGATGACTAATACTAAAGCAATCATTTCTTATTAAAGACACAAATGAACATAATCATGAATCCAACTAATCTTTGGCAGTCAGTTCAAATTAGCATATACTATCTTTGTAACCATGACCAGCAAGCAGTATCAGAGGTACTGCTACAACAGCATATGGAGACAAGAAAACCAAGCAAGTATTAATCTCTTTAACCTTTCTGGCAACTACCTACCTCTCCCATAACCTTCACCGACACACGTCACATATAGATGCGCAATACTGAGCAAATGCTTAATGCCTTGTAGCTTGATCACCCAGCTACAGCTGATCTAACTGGATGCAAACCTCCAACTAAAACTGAATGGCAATCACCCAATAACTCATGTTCTGCAAGAGCAAAGTATGACTTGCCATTGAAATCACCATTACAGTTTATTCAAACACTATTTTAACAAAGTAATACTTGTAATCACAACTGAAGTTGATTAGGATCAAAATTCCAACAGTGGGAGATATCAAAACATTATAAATCGGGTATGTTAACCTGAAGGGTGTAAAATTCATGACTCTAAGGTAAAAGTAGTTTTGCTTTGCTAATGCTGGTAATAAATGAATGATGAAAATATGAGCTTTAACAGCAAACAATTAAAAGATCCATTTAAATATCAGTTACAACTACTTTCCAGCTGAGTCCACATACATTCATTCAATACACTTAGTTCATGCATTTTTTAAAATTACAGTGGAAGGTTCACTGAATAAACTTCAGTCATCATAAAATAATCTTGATAAAACTTTTTTCTTTTAACATTCATAATATTGATACTCTCATTAAAACATGAAAACAGCCTGTTTTATTCACCAAGCTGGCTACTTAACTTCAGACCATTAAATCATTGTTTATTTCAGCACAAGTGAAGTTACTAACCACAAGTTACTAAAATCATACTTGAAAACAGAGTAACTTCATATTAAAAAAAAGATATTGCCTCCTACTGTTCAAATTACGGTGAGACAACTCAATGGAGAATATGAGGCACAACAAAAAAACATAGTTTTTTGAAATCAAAGTTTCAGCTTGTGTCAGAGAAGATCACAGAATTAATGGACTTCTACTGTATAACCCTATGAAACAACTTTTAAAGCATAGTTTGAAAGCAGAAACAAGATGCACACTATCCAAAATCAGTGCTGTGCTTTCACTTGCCACTCACAAAAGGGTCAAGTCAGAAGGAACCACAGTGGCTCAGCTGGTCCAAGCCCTCTGCCCTAACAGGGTCACCCTAGAGCACACAGTACAGGATTGCACCCAGATAGTTCTGGAATATCTCCAGAGAGTGAAACTCCACACCCTCTCTGGGCAATCTCTTCAGTGCTCAGTCACCTACACAATAAGGAAGTTCTTCCTCATGTTCAGGTGGAACTCTGGGCATCAGTTTCTGCTGTTCCCTCTTGTCCTGTTGCTTGGCACCACAGAGCAGAGCCTGGTCCATCCTCTGACCCCTCCCTGCAGACACTGACAGACATTGGTAAGATTCTTTCAGAGTCTTTTCTCCAGACTAAACAGGCCCCACTCCCTCATCCTCTCCTCTGTGGTATTTCATGCACTCATAATAATTCAGAATAGCTTGCTAATATTTCTAAAAGCACAAATATAGCACCTGTGTGAACAATTCTTTATTGTTACTGAGCTGTTTGAAACAAACATGAGAAGTCAGCTAACAAAAAAACAACTCAACCTGTTTTACTTGTACACAAAGAAGGAATTTTCAGAGTTTAGCCAAAATAAAGTCAGCCAAATCAAAACTTCCTTTCTTGATCATTACAGGATTTAGGAAGCTTTATTGTTAACTAAGCTGTTTAGTTTTAAATACAATCATAGGGAGATATAAATCCCTTACTCTAGAGGTTATCTAGATATAAAAGATACCAGAAATAACCTAGAAGTATTTATTGAAAATAAATACACACATATGTACAAATACATATATATAATGGAAAGCATACACAAGGTGCTGCAAATACAAAATGGAGGTGTTTGTTAGGGCCAACAGCTACTAGTTCAGCATTAATACAAACCAAAACAGTATCACAAACTCTCTGCATAACTGACACAGCACACTGTTGAGGGTATTCGTTGTACACTTAAAAAAAGCCTGTAGCTGTGATGCCAGTTACTTGAGGAATATTTGGTGCAACACATGCCCAGATACCAAAATTTGACATATCTGAGTGTGGATTTCATTGCATGGAATATATGCACAAATAAGACAGACTGTAAAACATGTTTTATGCTCAATAGAGTTTCCTATTGTATTACTTAGAAATAAAAAAAATTTATGTAACTATATTACCATGTGCATTTTCACAACTTTTTGTTTTGGTTTTTCCTTTATGCAACCTTTTACCAAATTTTTCAATACTTTTTTGACTCCTAAAGCATCCAAGGAGAGCAAGGTCACTGGACAGAACTATGCTATAAATAGTCTTCATTGTAACTAAAGGGAAAAAAAAAACATATCAAGGATGTTGGAAGCTGAAGCATAACAACGACCTCATGACATTCACTTTAAGGCTAATATTTCTTGAGTGTTTAGGATTGGATGAACCCATCTGGCATACAATTCTATTCAAAGCCAGTTTAAAAATATTAGATTACTGCACCTGGATAGGAAAAAAGGTCAGTTTCTCTGCATTGCCATTAATGACTCAATCTCACTTAACTCTTGCCATAGCTTTAACTTACCAAAATGTCAGCAATATTCCTGAAGAAAAGCTTTCAAACCTGTGCTTCTCCACTGGTACACAGAAACACCTCCTCTCATTCAGTTAGTAGTTGGTAGAAACAAGTACATGAAAACACATTCTGCAGAAACTTATTTTATTTTTTTTTCAGAAAGTTAAAAGTTTCTGTGACAGTTTTACCAAAAGGCTTGTCTTCAGGTCACAACCATCATATTGTTTATAGTTGGCGGGGGGTGGGGGGGTGGAGGGTTGGGGGTGGGTGGAGAGGCACGGAGGGAGGGGGAAGGACACATGCAAGGCAATAGTAAACAAACAAGAGTCAGATACTTTAGTACACCTGCATCTTCATTTCTCTGCAGTTAACTCAATGAAGCTGACATTTACAGAAATCTGAACTATTTTGCTTTACATCCAACCACTTCTGAAGCTGTGAATGGCAACGAAGACTAAAATTACTACAGGAACCGAGGCTGCCGTCACAGACACCTGTAAACATCCGCCCCTCGTCGCAGGAGGTCAGAGAGGGCACATAACAGAAAACAAGCCCTGCTAACAGAGAGTTTCGAGATTAATAAGTTGTCTAACAGTTTTTTAACTGAGGGTTTTCCAGTCAAGGCCCTTAAATATCTTCTCACAGAGAGGACAGCGGCTCAGCTCTTCCTAAGACGCAGCCTTCACACTCCAGTGGCATTTCAGCTACCGAGCAGCCGAATGCTTTCCAGCACGCTTTGACGAACCAAACCACTAAGTGACGCCGAATCACATTTGTGCCACCGCTAATAAATAAATAAACTCGTGAACGAGAGCAGCACTATGGGCTTTGGGTGACCCGCACCGGGCCGGGCGGGGACAGCGCCCTGAGGGCTCAGCCCGGTCCCGGAACTCACCTGTGCGCCTTCCTCTGCCCCCGCCAGCGCTGCCGCGGCTCTTCCGCCTCCTCCGCCGGGCCGCCGAGCTGCGCCCCGTCCCCAGGGCAGTGAGGGAGCCGTGAGGGGCGAGGGGCGCCCGCGCATACGGGGCAGTCGCGCTCCCTCCTCACCGCCTCCCTGCCCCGGCTCCCCGGCTCCTCATCCCCGCTACGAGTCACCCCCGGCTTCCTCGTCCTCCCCCTCCCCGCTGCCCAGCACCTGCCTCCCCTCAGCCGCGTCGACGCCGGAACCGCGTCTCCCTCCAACCCTGCCCGCCCCGTCCCTCACTCGCTGCCCCCGGCCGGTCCCCCCGCCACCGCCATCTTTTCCGGGAGGGGAGAGGGGCGCGCACGCGCGGCCACGGCGAACACGGGCCTGCAGCGGCGGCCGCGCGCAGGCGCGGGGACGCGCCTCACCCCACCCCGGGATCGCGCACCTGAGGGGGCACGGTGGGCTCGACCTTCAGATGGAGTGGGTTAGCCGAGGTTGGTCGCCTACCTTTGTCCGTGAGGTTTACCATAAGTGGTTCAGCTCCACAAGTGAGCGAGGTCAGCCTCGCTGGTTTCTCCCTCTCCAGACGGGCTCTGGCGTGGCCTGAGTGGGCAGCGGTGCTGTGGTGGCCACCTCCCAGCCATGAGGATGGTTCCTTAGTGGTCCCACAGTTTGGTAGCTGAGGTCCCTCATCACTTGTGGCTAAATATCGCCTGCTTTTTGGGTGACTTTCTCCACTTCCAGACATCATGCTTACACACCCTGTTTAGGGTTCACTTTCACTTTCCTGTTTAAGCTGATATTCCCTATAATGTTACTTCATGTTGATACAGATCCCCTGTCTTCCTCGATGTGAAGCAGATGTGGAGTCATGAACTCCCAGCACCCCCAACTGCAGCCTGGAGCACACAACTCTTTGAGTTTCTCTGTGCTACCTTGGCCACCCTTGGCCACCGCCTCTCACCGCTCCACAGTTTAGACTTTTGTTAATAAGATATCTCATGGGTTTTGTAACTACCTTCTTTCCTTTGATGTGTGTAAGGGCCTTTTTACTACCAGTCTAAGCATCCTTTACAAGGTGTTCTTCAAATTCTCTTTCAGTTTTCATTTCCTGCTTTGATATGACCTGCAGTGTTTCACAGGTTTCTGCTCTCTTTATTTTGGCCCCGATGAGTTCTGCCCTCTCATTAATATCAAAGGAATTTCCTTGCCAAACCCTCTCCCATTTTTCTTGGACAGAGATCCTGCTAGAGTCTGTCACAGGAAGCTGTCAAACCACAAGTGTTTGTGAGTATTAAACACATATTTACGGAAGTTGCTACATACTGATAAATAGCTGAGTCTGTGCATTTTATGTTTTGATATTGTTTGTACTGCTTGTTTTAGTAATGAAATTTTCCTGGGGTTTGAATGTAATTTTTAATTGCAATTTCTGTCATTGCTGTGTCTTGATTATCTGTGTTTACTTCAAGTGTGATAAAATTGTATCCTACAAACCATGACCAGGTATAGCTAAATACAATTTGATACAAATTTGACTGATATTATGAAAATGGGCACAGTGAACATACATGTGTGCTGGTTTAAAGGTAAACCAGCAGGGGAAATGAACTCAACTCAAAAGAGAGATTATAAGTCAGAATAACAAATTAATAAAATAATACAATAAGTACGATTATACAGACAAACAATTAGTTTTAACCCACAAACCCCAAATATATAACCCAGCACCCTGGGGCATGAACAGAGAGGTATTCTTTGGGCCCCCTGAGTCCAAAGGAAAAGGAGAGAGGAAAACCTGTTGGTGAGAGTGCTGTTGCAGTCTGGTTGAAAAGTGGTGGTTGCAGTCCAGTCAAGAGTGGTGGTATGCAGTCTGGTTGAGAGTGGTGATCTGCAGTCTTCCTCTGGATCCCAGGAGTGGTTAAAAAAGGTCCCAAGACTCCAAGATTATATATCCTCCAGTTCAGGCAGGAATGCTCAGTATCTCCCTGGGGGGGGGGGGTAGTGTTCCTTAATGGCTGTGAGGACAAAAGCAACTCCTATCTCGCAGGCCTCTTAACACCTAGTTTATAGCCTGAGGAGTCAGGCTCTATGTGTCAATGGTCTATTGATAACAGTTTCTGGGAAATGGCATGGAAGGCTATAGAATACACAGTTTTGGGTTACGCCCATCCAGTGATGAACTGGTCTCAGCTGTCCTAACTAGGACAACATGGAAGAAGTTCTTTACTGTGAGGGTTTGAGGCTCTGGCACAGGTTGCCCAGAGAAGTTGTGGATGTCCCATCCCTGCAAGTGCTCAAGGCCAGGCTGGATGGGGCTCTGAGCAGAGGAGTCTAGTGGGAAGTGTCCCTGCCTATGGCATAGGGGTTGGAACTGGATAGTCTTTATAAGGTCCCTTCCAACCAAAACCATTCAATGATTCTATAATGTTAGCTGTACCAAATATTATCTTTTACAGTCATATGATGTATCACACTGATTATGGCTTTTCAAAAGACAATTGTTCTTGGTAATATTTTTGTGAGTTCAATCACCTTTAGTTTCCCCAGCATATTGCCTAAAAGCTGAAGAGTTAGAACAATAATTTTGTATTCTAAGGAGTTTGGACTAAATCAGAGAATGTTCAGCTGTGTGACAGCCTAAATAAAGACAATTTTAAATGTCTCTGTGGTGCACACAGTAACCTTCCACTTCAAAATTTTTTGAATTCAATTCATAAGAGTCTGTCTTCAGATTTCCTCCTGACTAATGTAGTAGCCTTCTATGATGGAGTAACTCTATCAGTGGACAAAGGAAGAGCTATGGATGTCAACTACCTGGGCTTCTGAATCACAGAATCATAGAGTCATGAAATTAGCCAGGTTGGAAAGGACCTCTGAGATCATCAAGTCCAACCCTTGGTCCACTACCACTGTGGTTACTAGACCATGGCACTAAGTGCCACATCCAGTCTCATCTTAAAAACCTCCAGGGACAAAGAATCTGCAACTTCCCTGGGCAGCCCATTCCAATGCCTGATTACCCTCTCTGTAAATAATTTCTTCCTAATATCCAACCTAAACCTCCCCTGGCACAGCTTAAGACTTACTGATAGCTGCCTGGGAGAAGAGACCAACCCCCACCTGGCTACAACCTCCTTTCAGAGAGTTGTAGAGAGTGATGAGGTCTCCCCTGAGCCTCCTCTTCTCCAGGCTAAACAACCCCAGCTCCCTCAGCCTCTCCTCATAGGACTTGTACTCCAGTCCCTTCACCAGCCTTGTTGCTCTTCTCTAGACCTGCTCCAGCACCTCAATATCCTTCCTGAACTGAGGGGCCCAGAACTGGACACAGTACTCGAGGTGTGGCCTCTCCAGCGCTGAGTACAGGGCAAGAATCACTTCCCTGGTCCTGTTGGCCACGCTGTTCCTGATACAGACCAGGATGCCATTGGCCTTCTTGGCCACCTGGGCACACTGCCGGCTCATGTTCAGCTTCCTGTCAATCCAAACTCCCAGGTCCCTCTCTGCCTGGCTACTCTCCAGCCACTGTTCCCAGCCTGTAGCATTGCATGGGGTTGTTGTGACCAAAGTACAGGACCTGGCACTTGGCCTTGTTGAACCTCATCCCGTTGGAATCAGCCCAACTCTCCAGCTTGTCCAGGTCCCTCTGCAGAGCCCTCCTGCCTTCCAGCTGATTGACACTGCCCCCCAGCTTGGTGTCATCTGCAAATTTGCTGATGGTGGACTCAATCCCCTCATCCAGATCATTAATAAAGATGTTAAACAGGACTGGGCCCAACACTGATCCCTGGGGGACACCACTAGTGACCAGCTGCCAACTGGATGCAGCCCCGTTCACCACCACTCTCTGGGCCCAGCCCTCCAGCCAGTTCCTAACCCAGCACAGAGTGCCCCTGTCCAAGCCATGGGCTGCCAGCTTTTTCAGGAGAATGCTGTGGGACATGGTGTCAAAGACTTTGCTGAAGTCCAGGTAGACACATCCACAGCCTTCCCTTCATCCAGTAGGTGGGTCACCTGATCGTAAAAGGAGATCAGGTTGGTCAGACAGGACCTGCCCTTCCTAAACCCGTGCTGGCTGGGTCTGATCCCTTGTCCATCCTGTAGGTGTTGTGTGATTGCACTTGGGATAATCTGCTCCATAACCCTGCCAGGCACTGAGGTCAGGCTGACGGGCCTGTAGTTTCCCGGGTCCTCCTTCCGGCCCTTTTTGTGGATTGGTGTGACATTCGCCAACTTCCAATCATCTGGGACCTCCCCAGTGAGCCAGGACTGTTGATAGATGATGGAGAGAGGCTTGGCAAGCTCTTCCTCCAGCTCTCTCATCACCCTAGGATGGATCCCATCTGTTTCCATAAACTTGTGAGGATCCAAGTGGCTAAGCAGGTCGTAACTGTTTCTTCCTGGATTACAGGAGGGCTATTCAGCTTCTTCTCTTTTTCTACAAGCTCCAGAAGCCAGCTGTCCTCAGGACATGTCTTACTGTTGAAAACCGAGGTAAAGAAGGTGTTAAACACCTCAGCCTTTTCCTCATCTTTGATAATTATGTTCCTGCCCGTGTCCAATAAAGAATGGAGGTTTTCCTTGTCCCTCCTTTTGCTATTGATGTGTCTGTAGAAAGACTTTTTGTTATCCCTAACAGAAGTGGCAAGCCCTTGGTACAGTCGCAGCACAGGAAAGACATCGACCTGTTGAAGTGAGTCCAGAGAAGGGCTATGGAAATGGTCAGAGGGCTGATAATGAAAGGCTGAGAGAGTTGTGGTTGCTCAGCCTGGAGAGACCTTATCCAAACAGCTTCAGGAAAATGAAACTACAGCAGTGGCCATTTACAACTTGCAGTCCCTTGGTTCCTTGAGGTAATAAAGTGAACAAATGCATTAGACTATGAGCTGTACCTTTGTGCTGAAGTGCAGCACAGAACTATTGCCACATGAATAAAGTACTGTATCTGCCCCAGCAGTGTGACCGTGCTCAGGGGTTTGCTGAGAGCATTTCAAGCAGCAGCTGCGGCACTTTGCAGCTACAGCTCCTCCCTGGCCCCTATGGCTGAACACCTGCTAGTGAGAAAAGAAACTTTGGCTTTTACACCATCTGCCTCAATTAAAAGTGAGAGCAAGTCACTGTATTAGACTCTCTAGCTCGACTGCCTCATAGAGGACAAAGATGTACAAGAGAGGTGGAAAAACAATAAATAGTTATGATTTTCAAGGGACCTGGCTGTAACTGCTCTAAATTTTGGCATAAGGAAGCATGCGCTATCAGAAATCAGTAGGAATTTGCCCTGGCTATGACCTCTCCTTTCCCTCCCATTGTGCCTTCTGCTGCTGTGACTACCCGTTCCAGAAGTAAACACAGGATTTGCCTGTGTGCCTGCTGGGGAATTCACTGAATGAGGGTGAGTAGTATACCATGGTAGCATAAAAGTAGTGGACTAGAATATGTTTCTTGAAATAGTCTTTGAAGTAATCTACTTTCTTGTCTTTTCAGCTGGCTGGCCAGTCAGTCACCTGAAGATTGTTACAATTTATACTTTAGTTTTTCAGAGTATGTTTAGATCATGATCAGATTAGTATTCCATTGCACTAATGTTTGACACCTGTAAGTAAATTTCTGCCCTCAGTCAGTAAACATAAGACCATGTGCCAGAATGAGCCCAAAACCTACTGGGTGACATGAAATGACAGCAGCTCTAATTCAGTTGTTTGACAGTTGAACAAGATGATCATTCTGAAGATTAACTCTGAAAAGTTATAGCCTGTTCTAAGGGCAATTTGTCCACCAAGAAAAGTTCTCCAGCTATTGGTCAGTGTCTTCAGATGGTTGTTGTAAGATGGACTGTTTTCAGAAGTGCTTTTACAGGGGCACTTCTACAGCTCACTGTGAAAAGCTTTCCTGTTGGACTAAGTTTTAAATAAAGGCATGAAAAATGTCAATGTTGTTAACTATGTAACTGAGTAGAATAATATTCTCCACACTCTGGAGAATATAATTTCTGGAGGAAAGCATTTCTCACAATTGGCTGTTTGCAGTGTTATGGATTCAAACAGAATTTTGTAGGAACCATTTTGGCAACATTTACCTTTCAGGACAAAGGCCAATCCAGAGAACGCTGACTAAGTAAAACTAAAGAGAGAAACATTTAGATAGTAGTTTACAGCCATCTCTGTTTAAGGTTTGCCAGTCACAAAGTAAAACAACACTTAAGAAGAATGACTTCCCTTTTTTGTGCTTGGTTTGAGCAATTAATAGTTTAATATTAAAAACTCATGCTTAGTCTTGTACTAGACAACAGTAGCTGGGCCTAGTTTCAATCAAGAGAAGGAAATAGGAAAGCAAGAACCCAGAACACTCTACGTGTAGGGTTCCAAAGGAAAAAAATAAAAGGTGATTTTCAGGTGAAATAGTGATGAAGTTGGTTATTCTGTAATCCCAGAATCCTAAAGGCATAATTAGAACTGTAAAGCTTGTTATTTTTTTATGATTTTATTTTTGGTATAGTTAAACATCAATCTATTAGCCAATTAGATCAGAGAACTTGAAGCAATGAAGCATGTGATGGGTAGTCTGGTTCACATTAAGGTTCACACTTCTAAAAGAAAGCAAAGGGAAAAAAATTATACACTAATGCCAGAAAAGAAATCCCAACTTGGGGTTACAGGATCAAAAATAGAGATAGCTGTTAAAGCAACATAATTTTTAGTTGACTTTGTCCTGTCAGTATAAAGGAAAGGGATAGTTGAATGGAATATGTCCAAGTTTTCTGTGCTGGAATTGAAGTGGGGAAAAAATTAAATATGAGGGTCTTGTAATGGCCAGTCTTCGCGAGCGAAGATTTGGGAAAGGTCATTAACCCTTCGAGCCTGCGCAGTGGATTTTTTAGGTGAGACACAGCGTGCGCTGAACTGAGCCCACCCTTTAATCCTGAGGTTCATCTGCCGGGGCCGAGCAAGCTTGGACAGTGGCAGTGAGGTCCTCAGAACGTAGGTTTGTTTAGAGTGACCTTCTCTTAGATGGATGGCCTTACAGGGCTGACGAGCTCCATCTGCCCGGGAGGCTGGGAATCGAACCCGGGTCGCAGCGGTGAGAGTCCTGCACCCTAACCACTAGACCACCAGGGGCCCCTGAGGGTCTTGTATATTCATGAAAAATGGCTTTGAGTTTAGTCCAGAGAATGAGTCATTTTGAATTATGCTCAAGTCCTGACATCAGAAGAGGTCTGAACTTGCACCCTGAATCTTCAGTTTTCTAAAAGAAGGGTGTTTTTTTTCCTGAAGGTCAGATGTCTGCATCTTTAACTAACATTGGTAGCACCCTTTGGAGATAGAAAGGACAGGGAAATCCTAGAGATAGAGTTCAGTTTGCGTGCTTTACCACCAAAGTCTAAACCTAAATGATTTTGAAATTAAACCTAGAAGATTTTGAAATAGTTCTTGCTTTACTACAAGTGGAGTTAGTAGGCAGAGTTAGAAATTTTTGCTTGTATTACTCCAAAACCCTGAAAAGTGTAGAGAAGCTGGTAGCTAACAGATGGGCAAAGGAAGCTCTTGAGGAAGATTTCAGATAAAAGTCTGCTATAGCTACCAAAGGTCAGGACACAAGTGATAGAATCTTTGGAGAAATTGGAGTCTAATTGTTGCCCATGATCAAGAGAAGAATTACCTATGGTACCCCAAGCTACCATAGTATGTGCAAAGACAGGCAGCCATCTGCATGTTAACATTTCAGTGCAGAACAAACAGTAATGATAAACAGTTTACACAGCGAAGACACTAAAACTGAACTTACAAATAAAGGTGGGTGATTTTGCTGATGTGGTCATTTCCAAAAGTGAAATGTTAAAATCTATCTCTATCCTGTGTATAGGAGTAACTTATTGCTACAAATGGCAAGAATAATATGGATTTCAGATGAGCCCTAAAACCAACAGAATTAGCACTGTTACTGAACAAACTTTTATGTATTCTTCCAAACAGAGCAAATCTCTGTTCTCTGCCTCAAATTTTTCTTTTGATTGTATATGACTTCTTTACTAGGAAAGCAACAATGCCAAAGTGTGGGCTTGACAAACTTTTCTATTGGTTGTTATTTAGAATAAATGAACTAACACTGCTGGTACCTGCACTTGCAGTTTTCTTGAAGGAAAAAGTTAGAAATTTTGGGAAGGAAATGGGGCAGTACATTTCAGTGTTCTTCATAATATGACATTTTATGTGAAAGTCTTCATACGTTGTTTCAGCATGCTTATGCTCCAGTACATACTATAATAATTATTTCCATATTAAGTATTAATTTCTGTGAGATTTGAGTAAATATGGAAGATAATACAGTGTGCTTTTTGGATAGGAAATGGCTTTGTACACTCTGTGTAAGATTCATCTTAGCCACCTGAAGTTGCTTTGAACGTACCACACGGGGTAATTAATCTAACTTATTTTTAATATTTAAGATAAATTACCTGCTAGAGTTACCTGATTCTGTATCCTGATTATAAGTAGACTCTAGAGGAACCAATTTAGACTCACAGTCAAGCATTTATATTCTTAAATGAAAACACAATAATCTTGTCTTATATATCAGTACATGATAAGATACAATCCAATCCTATAAATTAATGAAAATAATGCTCTTTTCCCAATCTATGTAAGAATCAACACACATAGATAATTTGGTGTAAAATACGTAAACTTTGAAATTTGAAAGGTTTGCATTTCAGATTGTGACTGTCATTGATCTTTTCTTAAATAATATAATCTTTAGCTGAGATACTGCTACTGTTTCCCTACAAAAAAACCTCTGGGGTCTGATTTATCAGATCTAGGTCAGATATAACTCAATTTAAACTAACACATCTCTATCAGTGAGATCAAATAGCTACATGACCATCTCTACATTCTTTCTTTCTGAAAAATCTATATTATAATTCACTGATAGTACTGGTGTTTGCAATGCTTATGTAAAGTTCAAGAAAACTATAAGCCCTCTGTTCACACGGTATTCTGGGGAAATCTTTGAAGGCTGCCTAAATTAAAAGTTCATGAATATAACTACTTCACTGTTACAAGTGGCAAATTATGAGAAAAAAAAACGGTTGGAGAGCTAAGTTGCTTCCTTGAAAGCTTGTTGAAAGCTTGATTTTGTGTAGTGTCCAAGCTTCCTTAATTTACACAATTCAGGAGGTGGGGCTGAGCAGTGGAGCTTCATCCAAAAGACATTCCCATGGGACAGAGAACCTGCCTGGAAGCCTCACCCCAAAGTCACTGGCTGGAAGGAACAGCAACCCTCAGGTGCATAATCCTGCATCATCCAGGAGCCCATGGAAGCAGGAGGGGCATGCTTTCAGGGCCCCTGCAGGGATGTACTAAGAACTGAGAAAAGGTAGGAATTTAGGAAAAATATGGGTGAAGAAAGTATAGTCTTATATTAGCCCATGCTGAAAAAATTTTGCCATTACCTATGTGATGAATCATACCTTAATCACAGTTTTTGTGCAGTAGAAGCCAGCTGAGTTAATCAATTTTCTAAGAAAAAATAAGAGAGATCTTTTAGTAGAGTTAGACTATAGAATCTTTTGGTAGACTATAGATATCAGCATTGCTGAATTCATCATTGTGGGAAAGACCACACAAATGATCACACCTGTGACCACTTAAAAAAAAAATGCTGGCTTGTTACTAAAACTATACATGATAATCTTATTTTAGAAATAAGATTTCCAGGTATTTTTCTACTCCATAGACAGGATATTTCAGCTCAACTAAGATTTCTACTGTCCTGATCTCCTGTGTTTCGTGTTTTTGTGGAAGATGAACGGCAACAGTTTTCATAATGATTCAGAAATAAATACTTCTAAGTAGCTACTCAATTGGTTACATGAAAAGGAAAGCTGTTCTGACATGCCTGTTAGTCTAGACCATGAAGTGCCGACAGTATTTCTACATTCACAGGTGTGGATTTTTTGAGGCGCTGCTTGGTTACAAATAGTGCTGATCAACTCATAAATTCCAGCACTGGGACAGCTGGCAGAAGCTTTCAGGCAGAATGAAAGTCACAATTGAAAATCAGTTCTGAAACTGATGAAAACTGCAGTGGGATGCTGCAGGAGTATTGGAGAGAGATGTATGATTTTTATGCATCAGAATGCTGTCATTTGCAATTGTTTCAGGCTCAGTGTGTGTCACTTCAGAGTGGTAGAGCTACTAGGCACAATGTACCATTGACCTTAAAAAGATTATTTGTTAATAAAAGCACTTAAATATTAAGAAATTTGAAGGTTGTGCAATACTCAGTAATTTAATTTGTACATTCATTTCATTGCTTCATGTTATGAGGCAGTGCTTGCTCATAAAATCAGGACATCTTTTCTGCTGGAATCAAGGATCAGTCAGTGAACCACATCTACTAAAAACACAGTAATGTGGTATGGCTTTAGTTTTGCTCTTTGTGAAGAATGTATTGTTCTGTTTGTTCTGCTAGTTTTATTTAAACCCCTCAATTCATGTGTTCACAAAGATAGTAAAGCATTCTCTGGTAATCCTTTCTCATGTGAAATGCCCTGTCAGTTGTCTTTCTTCCCTGGATGAGCTGTCCTGGTTGAGCTAGTCAGTTCTAATATGGAAGGTGTGCCAAGTCTTTTACACCCATCTATGTGCCTCTGAGTTTTCCTCTATGCATTTTGAGACAGAGGCACAACTGTGCCTAATCTTCCAAAAATAGGGGTACATTGTTGTGAAATATAAGCAAACTGTATCAGCAGGACCTGTCTAATGCACATGATTTCTGATTCCTTCAAAGAATCCCATTGGATTAATGTGTAAAGAGAAGTCATAAAATACCCATATAGATTGTGCCTCAGTTGAAATCATTTATCCACACTCCCACTTAATTGTGTTCTTTTTGGTGGCTTTCACCAAACTTGTCCAGTGCAGAATTCAGGTTTACTGCTCTGTAGTTCCTCTTCTGCAGCTCTTTTGGGAGCCTTTTAAAAGTCGGTGTCATGCTGACCATTTTATGGTTGAACAAAGAGAAAAAAATTATAAAGGTTTGTGAAATCTATGGAAGTGATGGAGCCAAATCTTGGAGGACTTGATAGTCCAAGTAGAATTGCATGTTAGTAAGTCCCTGTTGAGGAATATTGTAAAAGTTACACTTCTGCATACTTACTTAGTAGTGCAACAGGACAGAGTTAGTAAGTACATATTTCAAGTCCACTTGAAATACTTGAATGTGCTGCTATCAAACTGCTGAATTTAAATATTTTTAATTCTTAGAGGCTAAAACAACTTTGCTTAAACATGTTTTAATATTTACATCACAGTCTAATTTTCTAAGTAATAGTAATCTGAGGTTTCTGCTTCTGGTCAGTTTTAGTTAATTAGGCACAAAATCTGAATAATATTTAATCCAATCTGTTTTTCTGAAGTTTTCTGTAAAGTTAGACAAAAACACCTTCTGACTAGTATGAAGCATGTGTATTTTGAGATGCAGAAGATAGCACACAAATTTTTAACATCTACAGAAAAAGAGAAAACTGAATGAAGGGATCTAACTGTAATATTAGGATTGTTATTTACAAATGAAGCAGAAACTGTATTCAGTTTCTGAGATTATAGCTTCAAAGTCATATGAGAAGTAGCTCCAAAATACTGACACATGTCTGTACCTCTGTGCAATCAGGTTGCCCACAGACTTCAAACTACAGGGCAAGCACAGTGTGCCTTGTCTTCAGTGAAGGTTTTTGAATATGTGAAAACAAATAGAAACCAACATGCTGTTAACACACAGAGGAAACATAAACAAGAGAATTGGCTTCTCCTCCTCCCTGGGTGACTGTTGACATCGTTGGCATTAACTAATTTGTAACAGCATTAAAGCCAGTGCAAAAGCTGAAGCCAAAGTTGTCAGAAGCTTAACTGCGTATGAAGACCTCAACAGAAGCAGCACACAGGTTGATTGACTCAATCTTTGTTATTGACATGAATACATAGCAGGAAGATTCTAGTCTAAGCAACAATTATCAGGGTAAATTTACATAATTAGTGCTTGGAGGAAAAATCAAATATGGGATGAATCACCACGCAATTTTTTATTTATTTTTAGAACCTGAGTTTAATTAGCTCTGGCACTGTCACAGCTGCCACTACACGATTCTTAAATACTTTAACTGAGCACTTTGCATCTTAATAGAGGGGCTGTCTCCTGTACACTTTCTCTCCTATTCATGAAATCGTCTAACTGCTGAGCTATAAATATAAATACCTTGGGGAAAATAGGCATGGTTCACTTCTTATGCAGTTCAATGGAGGTAATAAGGAAGGGCAGAACAGTACAGGAAGCCAATTTTACCCTTCTTCTTACCTGTAAGTTGGTCGCTATTGTAGGCTACTTGTGTAAATAATTGGAACAGATTATCCATTACATATCTGAAGGGTGGGCTATGCCCTCAACTCTGAAATAAGTGAAATCTAATCTGGTAATTTTATTTAGCAGCTACAAAGAAATCTGCAGCTGGCAATCTGGAAATTCACATCTAATACTTTATACATTCTGAAACCCCTAAATTTATATGTTTTCTGACATTTCTGCCAATTTCTGAAATGAATTCATTATCATGTATTATTCAAAATGTCTCATAATGTACAACTTCATAAAAAACCAGCTAAATTCCTGTGTGATCTCAAGAGAGTATTAATTAGAGCAGCAAACAAAAAAAATCGAGTAACAGATAATGCTAAATAATTAGAAGCAAGCCTGAGAGAAAACCTGATTTTGAGACCTTGAAAATGTATGGCTGCAAGCTTACCTTTTGCAAATCAAATTGATCCACAGATAACTATTCAAAATCCACAGCTTTGTTTTCATCATAGAAAAGAATAAATATTTACACTATTTTCTTTGAATGAAAGAATTGTGGTCTTAAAGTAGTTCCGGCATATAAATATATTTATTACTACTATCTTCACCATCTCCTTTTCTCAGTTAGTCTCTGATGGCTTTCTGATTTTCTCTGGTTACTTACCTTGTTTACAGAAATCTGCTCTGCTCAGCTACTACTATAGGTAAGGAAACAGAAAGACAAGAAAGAGAACAGTTATGCCTTAGCGCAATGATCAAATATATGGTATCACACAAAATTCAGTCCTCAGTCATAGAAACATTTGTGCATCTACTTAAATTTATTTCATTGAAGGAACAATGCTGTGAAAAATTATGGGTTTATGTAAGCATTTCCATGATTACAGCCTATGGATTATAGATTAGGAATTTGCATGGAAGAGTCAGAAGAATTAATTTATTTAATTTTTCTGAGATCTGAACTTGAAACTATTGCTGGAGATGGAAAATATGTATAAACTTTCCTAAACAAACAAGAATTAGAAAAAGGTCAAATGCAGAGGGTAAGCTGTGCAAGCAAACCCGCCTCTTCCTGTCATGTACCACTCTGTTCTGTACTGGGGTAGAAGATGAGAGGTGAAGTCAGAGAGACATGGGGTAGGGCTTTCTTGGGATCAGTAAGAAAGCCTTTGACAGCAAATGGCTTAATAAGATAACTGCTTTAATTACACAGAATAAGAAGAGTAATAGAGGTAGCAAGTAAATCATATGTACAATTAGTTACTGGGTGTCCTGAGTTTGTACAACATCAGAGGGAAACTGAATGGGTTTTCCCTGGCACACTGTGCAGAGCAGATCCTTTCTGTGGGAAAGAGAAGCTTTCCCTTTCAGTCCTGTGAGTTATCTTTTCCTTACAAGAAGACAATAATGAGAACTTCTTGCTGCACTTGTAGGTAAAGGCAGGTGGTGTAATCACTGGTATCCACTGGAAGCTGCCTGTGGGCTCCTCTGTTCCTGTGAGCTTGCTGAATTTATCCTCCAGCCCAGGACTTCGTGTAGCACAGAGTGGTCCTGAAAGCCACCCTGTATATTCAGCACAGCCCCCTGCCTGCTTAGGTTAGCTGTTTTGTGGATCACTAGCTCCTAAACATGGAATGGTCTCCTGGTCAGTATCAATACACTATCTAGGAGGAGCAGTCACATTTTCTTTGAGAGTTTGCTGTAAGCAAATCTCTGTTCATACTAAGCAGTTCAGTCATGTTTACTTTGAGAGATGAACTTATAGTTTTAAGGCTGTAAAAGTGTTGCTCCTTCTAGTGAGGACTGTTGTATCACACAGTGCTGTGTAAAGAAAAAAAAGGAAGACCAGATAGGTTGTGTAAAATAAATGCACATTTTCAAATGAAATCTTACCATATAACATCTTGTAAAGAAATTTTAGATCAATAAATTAACCATCTAATAAATAGACAAAAAATTTTTCGAAGACTATAATACAGGTGTTTCTGTGTATGCACTCTAGCAAGGTTATTTCCTCTTTCAGAAATGAAACACTGTTTGAAAGAAAGTAATGCTTCTCCTATCCGCAAAGAAGTACAGCACACACCTCCTTCTTTAGCTCCTCCTGGTTTAAATTACAGTATATTTCACTGCATCGTATCACAAGATCTTGGGCATTACACTGTCGTCTGACCTAGTATTGTACTTTCTTGCATTTTCTTGTACTTTTTTAAAGGGAAGAAAAAAGAGAAGCAAAATAGAATCTACCTTCATGTTCTCTCCTTGTAAAAATTAACTGGATATCATAGCAATGAGACATCAGTTGCCCCTGTTGATGTTGTCTCAGATATTTGTGAAAATTTCTAGCTCCAAGCTCACATATATGACTACATATGTTTTTCATTTGCTTCATCTTAATTTTTCTATATAACATTAACTTTTTCTGTCTCCATGTGATATTGACTTGCTCTGCTTTTTACAGATTAGCAACGCACATCTGTATATTGATGCTATTTTTATATCAGAGGGTAGGTTAGCACACAGACTTCTATTTCAAGTGCAGTGTTACTGTCATGTGAGCATGATTTCTGATGGAGCTAAAAGAAAATGACCACTGTAAAATAGCTGTCTCTGTTTCCAAAAATAAAAACCTTCACTTCAGGAATCAATCCCTTGGTTGCATCTCTCCAGTGCTTCCACATTGTACCTTAATTTCTGGAAATTTAATTTAATTTAGTAAATGTTTTAGCAATAAACAAATTAGAATACTTTTGTAAACCCTAAAAACGTTTGTGTAGAGGAAGGAAATAGTAATGTCAGTTAAAATGTTAAAAGAGATCAAGCTTAAATGTGAAGACATAAGGCTGTTTCCCACATGCAAATAGTTTCTATTTTGGCCTGCCAGGCAT